GGAGTCACATATCGATAACCACCAACATCAGAATGTACCTTTGAATGGTCAGATTCATGATACCATTGTCGGGGCCTTCTTTCATCATATCTTCAATTATAGCCTTTTACATGTCGACTATCAGAAGGCTCTCCCGACTGTTTTCTTCCGTAATATGGGTGTTGACCCATATTAGGACAGAATTCTTTTTGCTTTCGATAGTAGGGAGGATGTTTAAACTCCTCTTCATAAGGTCTTGCTGAAATTTTTCTGTTCTGAGGTCTAGCTGCATTGAAAGAGATGACTTCATTGACAGATTTTCTCAGCCTCCTTTGTAAATTTCAGTCTTTTACAGCCTTGCGTATTTTATATATCTTGAAAGAGGCAGATTCTTCCTTTTTTGGTGGTAGTGGCTGTTGACGTGAAGTCTCCCAAAAAGACTTCTTTAAGTGGCCTTTATCATCGTTCCTTTTTACCCATTTTAACAGCTCAAAGTCATTATTGGTTGGTACATTTGCTTCTAACTGTCGTGATGACTCTTGAAGGGTAACGGGCACCCCTCCATTAGCTCGTAAGCGAGCGTTGGCCTTTCTTCTGGCTTTCCTGGAAAGCTTAGCGCTTGCATCAGGAACTTCAGCATTATATTCTTCAGGCACTTCATCCTAGATTATATTCTGACTGGCTGTATTCACGCCAACAGATTGTAGCTTTGTATCAGAAACTTTCTTTTGAATTATTGGAGCAGCAACAGGTGCCATAGAGAGTCTTAAAAATACAGAGGCTCTCGTGAGAGTCTTCTCATCAACAGCTTCAGTGGTAGAATTCTTAGCGACACCTTTGACATTAGGTACGCTAACAGCATTCTCAGGAAGGAACTGTTGGAACTGCATGACTTCAGAAATGGTTCCGAACTGAATGGTTGCTCCAGCATAGCCCGTGTTCAGAACAGCTTGAGGGAACTGCAATCTGGCTCCCTCACCCAGTTTCACAGTCATGAAGGACTTTGCAGGCGTCATGTTATCAACCAGCCAACAGAACTTACAGGAATTAGAGTCAACCTGAATTCTGATGGAAAAAAAAACACATAGCTACATTGAATAAACATCTATATTTATTTTTAGATGTTTTGTTAACTGAGACTAAATATGAATTATCTTTTCATCCAAAGATGGAGAGAAAAGTAATCCCCAGCGGAGTCGTCAGAAATCTATTGGCTCAAAAAAAATGGCACGAATGCAATGAATCCCGCTTTGCTGTCGTAGAATTCCATTTCCCTTAAGTCAGCATTATAATTAACTAGATTTCCCCTGAGGGTAGTGTCAGGGTTTAAAGATCTGAGGTTCTTACTTCCTATGAGCGCAAGCACTCATAGTTAATTACCCCTCTTACTACGTAAGAGAGAACTCTCGATTAAGGATGAAATAATTTTAGATATTTTTAGTCTCAATAGTGGATGGAATGGAGGTAAACCTGATCAAGATCCCATGATTCCGTCGTCCCGGGTATACCGTAGTTCCAATCTACCAACACTAACAATCATTAACCGTAGTGTCCAGGGAATCTGATTAGCAGTCATGGGTTGCCTCCTCTCAGGGATCCCGAGTAGCCTAAAGTGGTGAGATTTGAGTTTTAATTTAATTAAGTATTTTGGGGTTTATATTTATTAGAATACCCAAAGATTGATTTAGTTTGGGATTTTATTACTTCATTTAGAAGTAACCTAGGGGTTTGGATTGGAGCGGGACTTATGGCTTCCTTAGGAAGTAGCCCAGAAGTTTGAATTTAGATTGGGATTTACGGCTTTCGTAGAAAGTAACCCAGGGATTTAGATTTAGTTTGGGACTTACAACTTTCGTAGAAAATAGCCCGGAGATTTGAATTTGGAATTGGGGCTTATTACTCTATTTATGAGTGGCCCAAGGATGGGTCTTACAACCTAATTCTATAGTGAGGATGCCCGGAGGTTTTAATTATTTGGATAGGACTTATGACTTCCCTTAGGAAATAGCCTGAAAAGCGGATCTTACAGCTTAATCCTTTTAGACTAAGATGCCCATAGGTTTGAATTTTAGTTTGATTTAATTTAGGTTGGGGCTTATGACTTCCTCAGAAGTTGCCCTTTTATTTATTTAGTTTTGGGCTTATGGCTCTATTTAGGAGTTGCCCGTGTGATTTGATTTAGGTAGGGGCTTATGGACTAGGATGCCCAAGTGAAGTAGTCTATGGTTGTATTATCACCTAAACATTTTTCCTTAGGAGTCAGACTTACGACTTCTATTAGAAGTGGTCGGGGGTTTTAATCGGGGGGTTAGGAGTTAGGTCAAATTCCACTTAAAACTTCCCCCTAAGGTCGGGCTTACGACTTTCCTATGAAAGTTGCCGGATAGTGGGTCTTACAATCTAATTCTTATAAATTGATTGCCCATTAATTTGAATTTTAGTTTGTTTGAGTGGACAGTAGTTGCTTGATACTAGACCACCGGGGTTTTCAGTTGGTTGTTAGTGATTTTGATATTTCGGAGTTTTGACATTGGTGTTAGTGTTTTAGTTGTTTTATCTTGTGTTCGTAGTCTTTCTCCTACTACAGTAGTCCACTACTCTAACTGTTTATAGCACTGTTGCTCTACTAGCTTTTTGTACTTAGCCTTTATTGCTTTTCAGTACCATATACTACCTGCTGTAGCTTAGATTTATTGGCATTCATTTAATTCATTTATGATATACTAACTTTTCACTTATTTGTTTGCAGGTGTTCGTAGCCAATGGTCGCAGTAGTTGAGGCTCGCAGTTACAAAGGATAGAATATATAGATAGTTGCAGGAGCTCGTACAAGAGGGACTTTGGAGAACTTGCAGAGGAGTTCAATTTGAGAGTTTTAGATATTTTGAGAGTTTTGGAGAGTTGTTTGTACAGAGTTGAGAGTTTGAGAACTTTGTATATGTTGATTAGTCGAACACTTCGCTCTCTTTTATTTATTGCACACATTTTTTAAAAAATCAATTTTCTCAAACTTTAAATAACAACACTGATTTGGATTTTACTCTCGGATAAAAGAAAAAATGCTCTCGATTTTTTTCTTAAATCAATTTTGCTAATAAAAATTAATTATTTTAAATTAATCTTGATTAATTAATTTAAATGATTTAATTATTAAATTTTAGTTGTTCTTAAGTAATTAATACTTAAATTAGACTCTCCCTAATTGGTCCAAAAATTAAAAAAAAATTAAGCTTTTTTCCAGGAAATTTCGGCAGCCTCCCGGCATCTACACTCCCCACCGAGGGAGAAATTGGGACGGCACTGCCGTAATTTCTTCCTACCCGGACCTAGGGGTGTCAATTTCGGGTCACGGGTCGGGTTCGGGTCGAACCCGGAACTGACCCGGGTTCAAACGGGTCGACCCTAACCCGACCCAGGAAGGCAAACGGGTCGGAAATCCTAACCCGGACTTGACCCG